CCCCAAAACCCCAAAACCCCAAAACCCCAAAACCCCAAAACCCCTTTTGCTAGAAGAGTTTTTGAAATAATATATTTTCTAGGCCAAAATGGACAGCACTTTCTTAAAATATGGGGATGTGGTTAATATTTACTACGAAACTGGACCTGGGTTCCTCCAATCCCAAGGGTAAGGCGCCTCCCTCACTTCTAAATCTAGCTTCACCAACCCAGGATGTTACATACAGCACCAACCTAAGGAGACGAAGCAGTCTTGCCGAAATTTCAGAGATTTTTGATTTAAAATTTTACCGAAATTGACCTACGAAGCTAGCAAAGAGTATGATAATTTACTTAGCATCAAGAAGAAAGATACAAACAACAAGGAGGCCCTAATTAACATGTAACACAATTGGTTATTTCTAGAGAGCAAAAGCTGAGGATTTACCAAAAATAAACTTCATGATGAGGAAGATCTCAACAAGAAAATGTGCCAGATTAAGCAAGGAGAATGGGTAACATATGGCAATGAAGTCCAACTTATGCACTGTGATTCCCTCGGTATGTGGAGTTTAGTCTACCAAATTCTAGAAAATAGTGACTAATTATACCCAAGGATCCTTATAATGTTGGTACTTTAGGATTCATTTCAGCAAACAAAGTATGTGCTGATTTTGACAGAAGTTGTAACAAGATCGAAATCACAGAGAAAGGCTCAAGCTCAGCTATTTTCAGAATCCTACCTCGATACAAATTTAGGCAAGAAGGAGAAAGTATCCTTTACAGAGACCAAATAGTTTTCTTGAATATTAAAACCAACCTTTACCTGCATATCACAGAGAAATGGATCGAAAAGATGGTTCCGATTAAGATCCCACATGAGGATTGGAGACCTCTTGATGCAGACAGAAGGGATGATCCTTCTGAATTTGTAAAACGATTTGAAGTTAACTGCTCTACTTCAAGTTCAAGATTCCAAGCAGTCCCAATGACTCAGGTAAATGAAGATCCTAATAACAAATTAATCAAAGGCAACCAAGTAATAAGACTCCAGCATACAGAACTAGGAGGATATCTTACTTCTGATGATCTTGATTTTACAGGCGATGAACTTGCTGAAATCTATGTTAAATGTTATAATGGCGACCCCAAAGATATGGAGGCCATTAGCTCAGGTGACCTCTTTGAAATAGAAATTGCATCTAACTATGATAGAGGAAGGGTCTGCAACTGGACAGATCCTAAAGATGAAAAGAACTCTTATCAATACAGACTGAGGCATTTAAACTCTGGAAGAGTGGTAAGAACCCAAGAAGTTACAATCACAGAAAAGTTCACATCTCTTGGCCTTGCAGACCATTGTGTGGAAGGAAGAGAGATGGAAGAAATGGAAGTATCTCTTCTTAGCCTGATCTCTACAACTGTTGATCCTGATGACAGAATCACAGCTGGAACAAGTCTCAAAATTAAGTCAGTCAAAGACTCTAAATTTCTCTCAACAAAATATGACAAGGAGTGGACTGGAGGAGTTCAAGGAGGAGGTGAAAGGGCTCAAACTAATGGTGCATTACCTGCTAACTCTAAAAATTCATTCTCAGATCTCATTGGAGAAGTTGAAAACACCAGCGCTATCGAGTATCAAGGTATAAGAAATAAAGGGAAAAGTACAGGGATATATAATCCATTAGACGATGAAGAGCTCTATAATTGCAGAAATCTTGTAGTTGAGTTACTTAAATGTGCTTCGAACGAAGACACCTTTATGATCGTCCCTGTTGATGAACATGAGGTCAGAGACCTTTTGTTTATCCAGACAGTGTCAAGCCAGTTATTTGGGTATACTAGATACCTTCGTGCAAATAGAATAGAAGACATCAAAGAAGCGCACTACACAAAAATCATAGATCTTCTCTCAAAACTGATCTTCTTCATTATCGATACTGAAGGAAGCGACCCAATTACCTGTAGTGGAGAGCCAAACAAGATACGGCAGAAGTTAATGAGAGAACTCAGAGTTATAGAACTTCTCGTAGACTGATTATACTATCCATTCAAAGATGACAAAGACTCCATATCTTTACTCTAACTGATGATATGCCATTAAAGAGGATTAGTATCCTGTGATACAGGCTAATCCTTCACTCTGTGAAAAATTACCGACTAAATGAGCTGTATGCAAGTCAGTGGATAGAACTATATTTCGAGCAATCTCTCGCTTCAATCGAGGTAAACATCAAAGCTGAGAATACTATTGCTGTTCTGATCTCCAATAACAGAGTGTTGTTGGAGAAGCAGATCACTACAAAGACTATTGATAATTTTATTAGTCTCTGCAGAGAGAAGAGGAAAGATGAAAGAGTTGTACAACTCTTGACAGCTCTCTGATCCTGAGGAGAACAAGCTATTCTCAGTAATCAGAATGATATCATCAATATTCTCCTTGAAAATGATGAAAACAGAGAATCCCTAGTTTTTCCTATTCAAATGAGGCATGACCGAATAGAGGTAGGCATCGTAGATAGTAAAGGAGATGCTCGAGAGTGGATAGCACTCAGACACCTCAAAGAAGATTCTGAAGAGCATGATAATCACAGGCTGTATAAATATTGTTGTGCGCTAATTGACCTTGCTTCAGAAATGTCCCTTGAGAGAAACCATAGAGCTTTGAATTTCTTTATTGATATATATCCAATCGACATAGTAATGAAAGCTATTATGCATAATGAGCTTGACTACAATGTTAAGAGTAAATTTACCAGAATGATCGAGATTATGTATGTTAATAGAGAACCATTTGATCATCTCAAAGTGCCCTATTTCTCACGAATTTGGAGTGATATCTCCCTCATTGGTAATAGAATAGAATACTACAAAGGCGAGATTCCTCAATACATTCTCGAAATAAGAACTTTCACTGTGCAATATTTGATCCAGGTAATTATTTTCCACAAGAACTAAGCCTAGTCTGGTTCCTCAAAATTCTTGCTTACAAGTTTTTATCTTAGAAAGAAGTATTTGATTATGTATCTATAACATATGCCATGCCTACTATTTATCATTCACAAAGTCATACATCACAATTTGAATTACAAATTATGGCAATTTCTTAGGAAAATTTTCTAAAATTTGGTCAAATTTCTAACATTTTCATTCAGGATACTAAAGGAGAACAGAGTATTTTCGATGGAGAGAAGAACCAAATGACTTTACAAGTGATCAAACTTATCAAGCTGATGGTTTCGTATGGGTTTTATCGTACAAAAGAGGAACTTAGGGAACTCTCTGTGACCTTAATCTCACTTCTAAATGGATCTAATGATATCTACAATCTCAAAAATGAGGACTACTCTAATGATGATGAGCTCAACCCTCTTAATATAGTCCCTCGAGCCTTAGTAGATAAGGATGAAATTAACCCAAGATATGAGAAAACTCAAGATAACCTGACGATAATGCATTGCAAGGAGGAAATCTGTGATATCCTCCTCAGAATTCTTGAAATTGAGAATGACCTTAAAATTTCCCTCTTCCTCGGTTACTTCAAAGATGGAATAGAGTCTAATGCAATTTTGGAGCTTGATAATTACGAAGATCATGGGTATAACGAATCAGTTTCTCATAAAGTCTTCCCAGAAGAATTGAATAGGAAGGACTTAACTGAAGACATGGCTGAAAATAAGCATCTTTCCCAAAAAGCAAACCCTCCCAAAAATCCTATAAAAGACTCAGATACAATTAAATGGCTTGAAAAGGTTTTAATGGGGGAGCAGCTATTTGACGCCTTCCCACAAGGTTCTTATGTATGCATCTTAATGGACTTACTTGCCTATGATTACACAAATTTAAACAATAAAGCCTTTGAGCTTTTGCTAAAATTCTTCAATCAAAGAAGTTCCTTGATCGAACTTCTAGAGCAAATTCAACTGCTTGAGAAGCCAGATAGCATAAAAATCCTAAAAAGAGTGACAAAAATCAGCCTTGAGCTTAAGAACTTCATCGATGTGGTCAATCAATGGGTAGATGAAGAAAGCAAAAGCACCAAAAATATCATTGATATCTCTGCTACATTACTTAGCACCAAAGAAAGCGTGGACTACCTTGCCTCGATTCTTGTGGAAAGGAATCAAAACAGCAGACAAGGCATTCTTGAAGGTAAGTTTTTGATTTCCGAGCTTTAGAAATCCCCAATACAGGCAGAAGTCACGAAGAGTCGCTTGTAATTGGCATGGATGGAAAAATCATGAAAAGAAATGAAATCTCTGGCAAAGATCTTACTCCAAATACTGAAAATCAGAGGTTGATGAAGAATCTCGGAATCCCAGGAATCCTTATCCAGATTTTGAAGATAAGTCTGTCTGAAGGCCAGAAGAACAATGAAGATTACCAGGACATGATCATGTCGATCTATCTGTTTCTCATCAGATTCTGCACTGATGATCAAGATAATCAGGACATGATCGGAGAACACTTAGATTTCTTCTTAAAAGAGTTGGATTTCTGTCCTATTGTGATTTTCCTAATCAAAGAGATTTTCAAGAACAATAAAGGTTTAATGGCTTCTAAAAGAATGTCAGTTGTGCAGTACATTGCTCAAAGAGAAGCAAGAATGAACATTGATTCTGTCCAGAAACAGCACTATTTAATGATTCTGAAAACTCTTTCCAAGAAGCAGAGCAAAGGCTTTAATAAATCAGCAAATGAAATCCTGAACGTAATCACTCCAATTGATGACAGCACAATTCAATGCTACTTCGAAAACAAGGATGAAATGAGACAAGCACAACAGTTAGTAGCTGACTTCAAGAGAGACATCTGTGAGCAATTCATGAGTGTGAAAGAGAAGGAAGAGTCTGATAAGCAAGAAACTCTCTCTAAATCAGAGACTCTCTTTGGGTACCTTAAGATTATACTAGATTATCTTGAAAGAGCAGACTTTTTCCTCCCATTCAAGAAATCAGTAGTTGAGTACTTTTACCACATGATTAAGTCAAAGCAGAGGGATATCCTTAACTCAGAATCCTGAAATGATACCTTCTGGATAATCATAGGGAACCTGTTGGAAGATTGTGAGTTTAAGGCGAATGCTGATGACCTTCATGATGAGGTGAAATCTTATGGATATCCTCTAAATCAGAGTTTCAAGTCAATTTCTGACACGTATATCTACAAAGTCGTATATATGACATTCTCCTCAACTATGAGAATGAAATTTGAATTTGACCAAGTGTCCCAAATTATGAAGCGTATTGCTGTAGTGACCTCACAGCTATATTACCGAAAAGAAGACTCTCCTGATATGATTAGATGGGTCTCTGATGTCCTAGTCACCATGAAGAACACTTCAGTTTTGGCAAGGTATCTCTCACAAGTTCGAACTCCCTTTGACGAGGAGGATGAGATCAATCTTGACTATCATGGAGACCAGAATACTCACAGACGTATTAACAAGAGAATTATTAAATAAAACTACCATTTATGTCCCAGGGCTTGGTGAGAAGACAAGAGCTGACATGTTCTACCAAACAATCAGCTCTGTATCCAAGAGTGAGGAAATGGACAGTTTGCTAAGCAAAGAGTTTGTGAAGTTGGTCGATTGGTTCTCAAAATTTTCAGAGAAATGAGATCCAAATTTTGCAAGTCTTGACCCAATTCAACACCTTTACAAGATGCTTGATCCTGAAAATACCTCCCTTCATGCGAATCTGCATATTGCTGGTATTAGAGTCCTCAGGAAAATAATTGAAGTTGGAAGCAAGGAGCTCCTCGGAATTGACTCCGACAACGAAGATGAAGAGGAAAGTGAAGATGAGGAAGACCTCGACTATAGTGAATACATCAATTTCCTCGCATCCAAAGGCTGTGTGGAGTTTCTATGAGACTACATCTCCAGATGTGAGAATCATCTGGTACTTGATGAGTGTATCCTTCTTGCAAATGCCTTACTGCAGGGCGGAAACCAGGAATCTCAGGATCGCTTCCTCAAATACATGCAAGAAGATGAAGCTAATAATCTTCTTCTCAAGATCAAATTTATGCTGATACGTAAATTTGAAATTTGCAAGAAGCTCATCACTGATTCAGAATCAAAAATTAAGCAAAATGCAGAGTTTTCAGATGAAGAATCAGATGGCGGTCTTGACAAAATAGAAGACGTCTCCATCATTGAGGAGGACATTTTTGAATCCACAAATGGTGATTTTGAAGAAGTAGAAGAGGATGATATCGATATTTCCACCGAGGACCTTGAATCTAGCATTATTAATTGCAACAGAGTTCTCAGATTTTTACAACTCCTATGAGAAAACCATAACCTTGACCTCCAAAATTTCTTAAGAGTGCAAGGAACTGGCGGATTGGTGAATAACAAAACTTTTGATTTCGTCTCACATATTTCATTAATGTTTGGAACATTTATCAAGGAATATACTAACTGATATTCCAGTGATCTAGGAGACCAGCTCATGGCCACTCTGACAGAGTTAATCCAGGGCCCTTGCAAGGAAAACCAGACTTCTCTCATCAACTGTAAGGTGATAGACAACTGCACTGAGCTAATTTTCGTCTATAACTCTAAAAATGTCCTCAGGCAAAAAGGATTCATTGGAAAATATGAAATAGAGCTGGACGAACTCAAACAACACTGAGTGACCCTTCTTCTTTCTCTAATTGAAGGGAAATGAGATGAGTACATCAAGAAACAAATGACCCAAGCTATTGATAACTTCTTAATTGTGTTCCAAAGAATGGACTTGATTTATAACAAATTTGTTAAGGAAAAACTTGGACTTGATCCCAAAACAGCTAGTCTGAGCCTTGTAACCAATAACTTACAGAAAGATAGCTTTGATGATTCGATAAATGAAGGATTTGAGCTATATATTCTAATAAAATTACTCCTAGTCGATAATGACCCTAGTGCAGTAGAGAAATACAAAGAATTCGAAGCACAACTTCCTCATGAAGATGACCCAGACAGTATCCACAGAAGTATGCAATTTTACCAGAAGTTCACAGGAATGTGCGAAGTTGTAGTTAATGATGATCTTTTCAAGGTTTTCTTCCCTATTCTTCCAATCTGTAGATTCCTTAGCGCGAATAGTAAGAAGTATTTTCTGGAAAATGTTGATAGAGATTCCCCTCAGCTCAAAATTAATGGATTCTTAGCAGCTATCCCTGATTTTATTGATGAAATGGAGCACACTGAAAGCTTGAGGCATGGAAAAATCAAAATTACTCCAAAAATAGTCAACTTTATCAGAGATGTTTGACTTTACTTCGCTTTCATCATCAATATTTTGGTACTTTATGAGTACGAATATGGACCAGTTGATAAAAGTGATGGATCATCAACTTTGAAACCTCAGGTGTACCATGATGTAGCTGAGACAGTGCTCTTTGGGCTAGGAATCACATTGATATCCTCTTGCTCGCTTCTACTACTACTTTGGCTTATAACAAGTTATTCATTATTGAACAAGCGTTACTGGAGGGCATATGTCCAGAAAAATAGAGCAATTGATCCAGAGACATTCAAAAAGTTTGAGAGTAGGAACTCCCTCAGAATAAAGCCTGCAAAAGGCACACCCTTAAAAGAAGCTAGACAAGTTCTCAAATTCTATGGAATAGAATGAAGAGAATTCAACTACTATGGAAAGCTTGATTTTGGACATTTCATAATCAAACTAGAATATTATTTGCTGTCTCTTTCATTTATCTTAAAAAATTCGAGATTTAAGTATTTCTGAACCCTGATCCTTTTGGCAGCTGCTGGATTCTACTATTCACCAGCTCTGTACAGCATGCACTTATTAGACGTAATAGAGAGATATCCAATCCTGAGAGATGTGATCAAGTCAGTGACACAGAATTTCGTAGACTTGATCCAAACAGCTATCTTTGGGCTAGTTCTGATTTACGTCTTCGCAGCATTTGGTTTTGAATTCTTCCATGATATGTATTTTGACGAAGAAGTTGAGCGAGACATTACAGCAAAAAGAGGTGAAAGTACCTGCAAAACCTTCCTTCAATGAGTCGGATCCACTATTGGCTATGGGCTTAGGATGGGAGGTGGAATAGCAGACAAGCTATCTGCTCAAACCTATGCTGATAAGGTTTTGTTCTATCTCAGATCTGGGTATGATTTACTATTCTTCTTGTTGGTCGTAATCATCCTTCTGAACATCTTCTCAGGTATCATTATCGATACATTCGCTCAGTTGAGGGACCAAAAGACTGACTTTACACACAACAAGAACAACGTGTGCTTTATCTGCTCGATTGATCGGTATGAATTTGATAGAAACGGAGATGGATTTGAAAAGCACATTGAAAAAGACCACCATATCTTCCATTACCTATACTACAAGATTTATATCAAGAACAAACCTACGACAGAGTATAATGGGACTGAATCTAATATAGGAGATGATAGTTCTTGGTTCCCTTTCCATAAAGCATTAGTATTAGAGCAAGCAAAGGAGAAGGAAATTCATCAGGAAGAAGATGCTAACGAGCTCCAGCTGAAGATCAACTCCTTGGAGAAAATGATAACCTCGATTGAGAAAAACCTCGCTCATTAGTAATCTTGCATATTCAATTATATAAATAAGCAAAGGGGTTTTGGGGTTTTGGGGTTTTGGGGTTTTGGGG